TCAGGGATCAATCATCTTATTCCTATCTCAGCAACATGGACGAGACAAGCCGAGTAACTGAAAACAGGATCACGATACCCAAGCACTTGGTTCTAGCAGCATGTTGCTCTATAACAGAGGCTAAGAATGATCATACAATCATGAATGAACTGACAACTCCAGGACTCTCAAACTCTCGTTCCCCTGAGAACCTCTTGACCTAGCAAATGTCCGACAGCAACTACGGTACCTATACAAGACATGAGACATGTCTAGTTACTGACCTGCACAGCCAAACCAAATTTCTCTTGACGTTCTGATCCCTTTAATGAACTTGACATTTTGCCATCATGAAACATCAGTTGTGAAGGGGTTGCTGGAGACAGCAAATCGACACGCCCTTCAGAAGGAGCTCCTGTAGACCTAAGTAGAGTTGTTAGCGGAGCTTCCATCTGCATCAAAGGCTGATGATGATGGGCACGGTGAGGAACATAGAAAGAAGAAATTGAGTTTTAATTGCATAACATCTCGAGGAAGATATCATAGTTTCTCGCAGTGAGATAATGTGCTCCCCGATTAGGCGAGAAAGAGGCACGACAGGCGTGTCTGATGATGTAAGAGAGGGTTGTCTTTGGTAACTTTAATTTCCATGTTTGTTTTAACCTGTAATATTATAAACGGTGAAGGCTTCTATTTTAGAACGGCTCAGTGTGGGTTTACGTTCAGTGATCCTGAAGCTGGCGGTTCTGATGGCAACACTTGATGTAGACTCTGGACTCCAACAGGACCATGACGCCAATAAAACAACGTGAAAAACACTAAACATTATCTCGATCCTCCACCAGTAGTAATCGGACACACACCCATCTCCTTCTATGAGCGATTTAATGGGTAACATACAAGCTTAATGTACTCACCATATTGCCATCTGGCTGTGCAATATTTTCCACAGTGGTGTTTTGATTTGTATATCCGAAAGAAAATGTTTTATTCAGTTCTAAGTAATTGTGATAAGATAAGTATAACCATATTAACGCCCTTGCAGTAATCTTCATTTATCTGGGTCTTGCATATGTTTTAAATGGTACTAAATCACCTATATCCTTCGGAGAGCCCCTTGCAATAATCCTGAAATGTATCAAAAATAGATAACAACAGATGGTACGAGTTCACATAATTAGACCCAAAAAAGAATGATCTTCTTTTTCAGTCTCCGTGGCTGTGTACCACAATTAATTACCTGGTTACCATTCGTAACTTTAGTACCTCGAGTCCGCTTAGATACAGATGCTTTTCTCTATGATACAAATAGTCTATGTCACGGCGCTCCAGCTATGGTGGTTTCAGTAACATTCCTGAGGTTTTTGGCAGAACACGAGAGTCAGCACTCGCTTCAGCTCTTCGCTGGTGATGCAGCAGACGATACTGCAAGCAGACGACTCCCTTTCCCAATCCCCCGCCAAATTAGTCGGCGGCTGCTTCGTTGTTTGCCGAGTTAGCGCTTTCTACCTCAGCCGGTACCGCTCTGAACAAATAAAGTCATCGTACGAAAGCCTCGACTGGCATTTCGTGGTTCTTATACGATAAGTCTTCGGTTCTTGTACATCTAGCTCGAGGCATGTCTCTAGCCGATGCATAAACCATCCTCGCGGTATCAAACAGGCTGCCATGTTTCATCATCGGAAGATATTGTTAACGTTGAGTTGAAATATCGTCTTCCGTTTATCAGATCCATTGCCTCCATTGCTCTGGTTACTCTGCCGGTGAAAATTTGCAGCGAAAGTCGGTCATGTTGAATGATTGCATCAAGCTGATAACATATAGTAAAATTGGATACTTACAAATAGTCCTGACAAGCGTTTTTCAAACCGTTGCATCAAAATACAGTTAAAGACTTACCTTCTAATAAACCTTGCACGTTATGGCGTTAGCTGAGTCAGCTCTTTTGAGAGCGCCATTTTGTTTTAAGAAATGTAAGTAAAAGTCTGTAATTTTGTTTCATAGGGCGAAATATAAAACAGTGATGTATTTTAGAACATTTTGCCATATGCATGTGATATCTTCTCAATAAACATGATTATTTTTTCACTTTGATGAATGCAAGCCACTGAAAAGCTTTCAGAAGGTATTACTATACTGAAAGATCCCGATCAGACGTAAAGCAGATCCGTGTGTTCAAGCATATACTTCAAGAGAGCATCATTAAATAGCGTTAAAATATATCTATGTGACGGGCAATCTCATAAATACACAAACCACAGTTTAATTGGGGCTATTTGGAAAGTTTCCAAGGTCACTGCCAGTTTGGATAATGGATGATGGCACGCTTCTTGTTCCCATAGTCTCGTCCCACTGAAGGGATATTTGTTTCATCGGGGGAAATAAACATATAATTCTGATCATTCTGATCCAATTTATTATCTATGTTTTTAACTCTTTCATTCCCCTTGTTGTTTATCGGTAATATATGAACGTAATGGGTGCACGTGCACTTGACGTCAAGTATGTTATATCTGTTGGACTTGGGAAGTTATGAATGAATGACGCCATTTCCGCAGCTGCAGGCTCAAATATGTGCGTTTAAATCTTAACTTGGAGGCAACACCCAAACATTGGCCGACAGGCTCTTCTTAACTAACAGTTTTAATCGTTTTGGGTTCGAAGTTTGTCTAATGGCTGGTATGGGAGCGTCTAAATTGGTGATTCTATTGGAAAGACGTCTACCGTTGTCCATATTTCAATTACCCGAGTTTTCCGGAATGGCTGTGTGGCGGGATGAGAACAATTGATGGTAAATAAAACAAGACGTATCTGTCCGTGAATACAATCAATAAGGCGTTTGTGTCGGATCAGCCGCCAGTTTAATATGCGGGTTTCGAGGAGAATTGGTATAAATGTCAGTCACTTTGCTAGTTTTGGGTGTACCTGCGGTAGTTTGGATGATTGCAGGGACAGTTCTGAGCTTCCTTCAGGAGACTGGTTCAACCTTAAATATCCACTCATGTGTAAGGGGGCGGTCGGGTAGCCTAGTGGTTAAGGCGTTCGCTCGTCACGCCGAAGACCCGGGTTCGATTTCCGACATGGGTACAATGTGTGAAGCCCATTTCTGGTGTCCCCCGCAGTGATATTGTTGGACCAAACTCACTCAGTCATGTGTAATTGCCCGATGAGGAATACGTTTGAAAACATCAACTGATCTGGATAATTTCCAAGCTAAAATAAGTGCCCTTCTATTTTGCATTATTATAGGGCGTTTTATTGCCAGTGGATTTCAATCATTTGGGTTTATCATCAAAACACTCTAACCGGACATGGTCTTGATGCGATGACGATCGTATTATTACTTAAAACATTGTCTATTACGCGAACACTTGGTCACTTTATGATATCATGCTTATAGTATAGTCTCAATCGTACAATGGACGCTCTTTCTTATATGTATGGAAATTGTTTTGTGGTAGTAGTAGTAGTAGTAGAAGTAGTAGTAGTAGTAGTAGTAGTAGCAATAGTAGTAGTAGTAGTGGTGGTGATAGTAGTAGTTGTAGTAGCAATAGTAGTAGTAGTAGCAGTGGTGGTGGTGATAGTAGTAGTAGTGGTAGTGGTAGTAGTAGTAGAAGTAGCAATAGTAGTAGTAGTAGTGGTGGTGATAGTAGTAGTAGTAGTAGTAGCAGTAGTAGTAGTAGTACTGATGGTGGTGATAGAAGTAGTAGTGGTAGCAGTAGTAGTAGAAGTAGTAGTGGTAGTAGTAGTAGCAGTAGTGGTCGTAGTAGTAGCAGTATAGAGCTGTGACTATTGTTCTTGATCTCCGAACTTAGCATCTTCATCCAAGGATGACTTCTTTAAGTGGCATTTAGAAGTTGGTATGAAGATAGTTCTGTGGATATACAAGTTCTTTTATCTAGTACAAGTCGCCACACGTGGTGATTCCGTGGTAAATGCCCTTGACATTGCTCCCACCAAGCATGTCCATCTGTCACTTGACCTTTCTGTTGACCTGCTACAGGTCTCACAAATATAAGACAAAGAACATAACTAAGATATCTCTTACCACGTTTCCTTTGTGTGCAACCTTCATCACACGTCCATGTGTTTTAGTTTTCACAAATTTAGAAAAGAAGTTGTTCTAGACCATGCTGTTCAGAGTGTGTTGAATCTTTAATGACATTAGGTAGATATTTCATTATCGTACCTTATGGAAATATTTATCATTGTGGTATAAGTCAATGTTCACAATCACCATCATGGTGTCTGTGTTCGGGAACGCTGTGGTCAACACCTAACCTCATAGGAGTGTGTCTTATGTAGGACTAGTGGGGTTTACCTATACTATCTTCGCTCCGATCAAAAGATCAACACCCTCTAGTGGTGCCAAAGTCACGTACGATAGAACATGTCGACATGCTGGCCCATTGCTATGGAACAAACTACCACTAGAAATCCGGGAAACAGAAAATCTGACAAACTTTAAAAAGACCTATCCTTTCAAGAGAGCGTTTGACAAGACCAGTCATGGTCTAAGCGCCTTTGAGCGCTGTGTAATTGGAAAATGCGCTAGACAAATTCTTAATTTAATTTAATTTAATTTTAACCTTCTTCATAAACATATATGAGGTGGAAATCCTCTTAGAACATCAACATAAGGTGGGAAGAAACCTTGATGTTCACGCTCTTTACGAATAGTTTAGTTTGATATGGTAATAAACAGCAATATTAACCTCTTCATATCCCATGTAGTGGGAAATATTCCCAACTTAACTAATCTTTTCTTCAGGCTGGCGTCGCATGGCAGGAGTACTGCTGTGCTGCATCAGGCAATACGTACTTACCTCTTTATGCAGACTGTGTGCATACCGGTGTTACCGGTAGGACAGGACATGCTAACCCTTTTCGCGAACACTGATTTTCATGGTTCATTCGTATAACTTCCACAGCTATTTGCCCCTAACGCCACGTGGAATCCGTTTCGGCAGATAATCCAGACTGGCTTTTCTCTTGCATTGACCGTGTCCTTTTGATTGCAGGTAGCTAGCGGGCGATATCATCATGGGGGTGGGAGACGATGTGGCCCCCCGCTTCACTCAGAAACCGTCACTGCGACAGGCGGACAATGGACAACGACTTATATTCGAGTGCGCCCTTGAAGCTTCTCCCAAACCGGACATCTCCTGGTTTCGGGGAACTACAGCTATTACCGGGTCAGACAGGATTAAAATGCGGGTAGACCCCGCCGGTGGAAGTGCATTCAAAGTGATTATGGAAATAGTGAACGTGACACAAGGAGATGCCGGTACCTACAAGGTTGTAGCCAAGAACAGACTGGGAGAAGTTTCGGCTTCCATAAACCTGAATTTCAGCGGTAAGGCATTTTGTGGGTTTTTTCACATCACTCTTGACAGGCTAGTCTCATGAAATCGTGGAACCACGGTTGTAAGGTTTACGAGTGTCGTGCGGCGGATGATATGCATGTGCTTCTATCACATTAATACAAAACATCGACTATGCTTGTCGTAAGAGGCGACTAACGAAATCGGGAGGTCAGGCTCGCTGACTTGGCTCATGTATGTCATCGTATACCAATTGCGTGGATCGATGCTCATGATATCAATGACTGGATTATCTGGTCCAAACTCGATGATTTACTTACCGCCGTCATATAGCTGGAATATTGCTGAGTGCGGCGTTAAACAACAAACAAACAAAATACCAAACATACCATCTTCTGAGGATCGCCGTTATAAAGGCAGTGCGACAATAGAAAGGAGGTCCTGTTATATCGAGCTGTATTTCGGTCCTTATATTTATGTATTTATTTATCAAGAATCCTAAGGTTATGTTCATACGAGCGTCATACGACTCTTGCTCAAAAGATGTTTGATCAGGGTTTCAACATTCAATGCTCAAGTAAAGCTTTCAAAACGTGGAGGACATTTCAAAGTTTGACGCATCAGTGACAAAAATGAAATCCGATGCAATTCCCTATTTTGACTTGTATCATGTTCCCGTGTTTTTATAGGTGAACACTTAACTTGCCTTTGCGTGTGTTTGGGATGGGTGTCACCGATGGGGCAGAATACGCTCATCTTTACGCGAACGCCTGGTGTCATCACCAATTGATAGTGATTCATTAACATATGCATATGATATAGTTGGAATTGTACATATAGATTTCTTATGTTTATTGAAATAATTTGGATTATTTCCTTTGGCTCGATTGGTTTCCTTCTTCCACCAAAACGCTGTCAAGCTGCTCCCAGATGACATAATTTATCATAAAATATCCATAATGACATATTTGTGTCACAGACGTTAGAACAGAAGTCGTGATCGTCGCGTTGATGATCGTTGATTATCTTTGATGATCGTTGATTATCGTTGATGATCGTTGATGATCGTTGATGATCGTTGATTATCGTTGATGATCGTTGATGATCGTTGATGATCGTTGATTATCGTTGATTACGTCTACCGAATAGCAGTGCAAAACTTAGACCAGCAGGGTCAGGTAAGATTATCAACGATCTAGACGTATGCAAAAAAAATATAGTATTGAAACCAGTTCACGTCACAGTGCTGTTGTAAACGGAGTTAACTGACGTGTATAAACCAGAAGGAATCACGATTAACTGAAATATAGATTTACAGCAATCTGTAGAAGTGAATCAACAGCACGCTGTTAGGAACGTCGCCAACGTTGCACACCTTCTGTCACACTAACGTCATCCCTGTTTGGAGTACGATGGTGTTGGGTGATAGACGCCTTGTGTATGTGCTGATTATCATACTGCCTTGGGCCCGTTCCACAAAGCGATCTTAGCGTTACGACTGTCGTAAGTCAGCGTTAAAGTGCAGGGACGTCTTTGTCCTAAGGTCGCTTTGTGGAACAGGGCCTCGGTTTAAATATACAGAAAAAAAACTGGGGTGTTTCTCGTGCAAACTGAATTAATCATCTTAAGCGGATAATGGAGGTCTTACGTTCACCGGAAATGAATCAGAAGATAAAATTCGCTTCGGTGCGCATCCATGTTATCGCCCCAAGCAATACCGCCAAATATGATAGAGAGATATGCTTCATGTTAATTGCAAGACTGCGTTATCTGACGTTATTCCATGAGGGTAAAAAAATTATATACATGATAATTTGGCTTTTTGCCAACAACAGCTGTATTTTTTATGACGCTGCACAAATTCCTGTGGCGAATTGTTTTTAGTATCGTCTGCCGGCTCTGGTACGGTGTTTTTAGCCGGATACCGTCTGCTCTGACTATGGCGCAGATTTATAGGAACCTAACTTAATAGGAAGCATATTTTTCTGTTTCATCAACCTTGCACTTTTATAATAAACAGCAATTTAGTCCCTCGGAGCAGGTTTATTGAATAACTAACTGTGTTTACTCATGGAAACATAAACATATACCACGCCCAATATGGAATTATGAGCTAGGGTCTCACAACACTAAGGATGGTTGATGCAGGTGTGTTGTATATTGTAGGATCTACACATCATCAACGGCATGTGCCCAGACAGAGCTCAGCGTAGTGATTAACAAAATATCTGTGACCTTGAAAATTGGCCAAAAAGGTTTTCATACTGCGTTTTGGCAAGACACGCATTGTCCCAACAAAAAGTCATTATTTTACACAATGAAGGATATCAATATACTAAATTCTATGACAAACGTGTGTAAGCTGTGTCAACAGAATTAATCTTTCAATATTCAAGCACATATTGTACATGTTCCAAAAGATGTGAGCGATGAAATGAAATGAATGAAATGAACCTGGATTTCTTGCCAAGAACATTACGTGCTCTATCAAGGCCATCAGATCACCCAGGCAACCGATTCCTGTATTCAATAGACAATGTGTCCTTGACCTTGAGTAGATTCTGGACCCTCCAAGGTCAATCAGTTCAGACTCTCTTTCGAACCTTTGAACTAAAGAAACTGCCGAAATATATGTTGGACTGCTTCGTCCCTTGTCGTGTAAGCAGTGTCCTGGGACTTGTGTTTTGAAGAATATCGATAAAAAACGGGTCGTAACCATTTAAGTGATGTACCAAGCGCCTGCTGTCAGTGTTGGGTGGAAAATTGGGCTCTGATCTGAATATAGACTAGCATTTAGTCTCTGAAATCTTATATTACACAATATCCTTCTTGACTCTAAAAATGGAATAGAGCTAGCTTGAGCTGGCTAGACTTGCTTTTGTATGCATTTCTAGATTATAATTTTTTCATAAAATAAATATATTCCACGGTCATGGTGCAGGACTAATCTGAATCTTACGACCGCATCTGTGTGGACTGTCCTTCAAATAAATGCAAGCAACAAAACCCTTTCCATAATCATAAGAAATCTTTGCCTTGAGTCCTTTGTGCGATTCCGACTGTATCATACGGAGTGTTTATGAATTATTATCAAATAATGATGATACCAGGTGTTGCGAAAAGGTGGCACCCGTCACAAACACATGCAAAGGCAAGAAATGTAACCTGTTATTTAGAATAATAAAACGTGGCTGATGTTTCCATAACCTTTGATTTGTGTGTCCAGGAATGGAATTAATTATATATACGTAGACTTGTTTTTGATATGACATTTGGTTGGGTGACTTGAGAAACAGAACTTGATAATACAATTAGGTGAAGGTCATTCTTATGTTGAAACATGGTCAAGGTCATGTTTACACGCGTTGTAAATTGTAAACATAATGTTAAATCGCGACAAACAGAAACGTAAGCCTGTTCGGTCTAAGTTCATAAGTTAAAGCTTAATTGTGTACACAAGTGGCTATTGCATATAGTTCATGACAGTGATGTTGTCAGTGACAAAAAGCCAGTGTTAGGAACAGCACCTTGGGTCACCCAAACTCCATTTCACGAAATCAACATACTAGCTGAATTTTAGTCTTGGTTTCACAAGCACCATATGTTAATAATGGCAGTGCTATGTAACGCTAGCTCAGCGCCCTCGAGTCATTCAACGTATCATGTTCCAACAAACCCTACGTCACATATTAATCAGTGCCAGTTATACCTCTACATCCTAATTACAAGCAAGCATATCTTCCAGCCTAACAAGACCAAACATATGTCAGTGTATTTAATGCAGGTGAAGTGATTACAAGTGTCCTACACCGTGATGCCGTGGCGGAAAACTGTACACATACCGCACAGGACGTTTTCGTTTCGCGAAAGTAAAATATTTCAATATGGCGCACGTGTAAATTTGGGATGACAAGACGATCATTTTACACGTTCAACCACTTAGGAAAATGCGAAGGCGTTTGATAAACGTGTATCGGAGAAAGCAGTCTTGCAGACCCACCACGTCTCGATAAATCTTTACAACGATAGCCCTGGAACAAGCTCGTACATAGCTTGAATTCTCAAACGGATTGGCAAGTGGATTTTTGGACAAGCTCCGCACAGTGTATAATTCAGTGCTGCTATTATTTATGATGATGGCTCGACCATGTGGAGGAGTTTGAGCTGGACGTTATCTCCGTGTCGATGCTCCCGACAGGAAGATAGATGGCAGCATCGCCCACCACCCATATACTGACCCCTGCTGATAAATGATGTCAGTATTTCTATGTTGTTTGTATACACAAGTCATTACATCCATACAGTAGCTGCCTAAATATGGGGCGATGGAGTAGCCTCGTGGTTAACGTGTTCGCTCGTCACGCCGAAGGCCAGGGTTCGATTCCTAAAATGGGTATAATGTCATTATATAGGCGATACACAGTGTAGGTTTATGCTGACAATGTCGGTGGACAGACAACTACGTATTATAAAGCCAAACCTCATTAGTACGGACCCTGCAAATCCGAACACCCAACCTCTAGACGATTACTGTTCAGGAAATCCATGTACATATAAGGACATTACCCATTACGAATTTGTTAAAACGGAAATTTGGAAACTGGGACGACGTCGTTCACTCTTTTAGGAAAATGAAAAATACACACGTCTTACACTTACATAGATTTTGGTTGGGAATATATTTATTCCAAACTAATGATGCACTGTCCTTTTTAGTCAGATTTTTTTAAGTTATTGTATATTTCCTTTAAGATGCATATGATGTTTACAGTGTACGGTATAACTCATATTGCCAGTTATATATATTTTCATGATATTTGTTTTTACTTATTGACATATTCAATTCTAAATCCTCCGAAACGGCGTAAAAGAATATTCGATCACGGATACACATTAACACCTCCTTGTAGCTTATCAGCATCATGCAATTGTTATCAGATATATATCATTTAAGAATGCATTTCTTTACTAAACATTTTTTGCTCAGTAAAGATGAATTGTATGTAAGATATGCAACGCGCTTGTATATTTGAGATCAAAAGATGGCCGCATGTGTTATTACAAAGGCTCGGCTTAGGGGCACCTGTTGCGCAATGCTAAGTACGCGGAAGAAACTACCGTCTCATTTTCCAGAACATAGCCGGTGAAAGAATAAACAAACCAGATCCATGAAAACTCAATTGTTAGTGAAAAGTACACATTGTTTAAAGGGGCACCTGTTCCTCTGACAGGATACAGAGATCCTCGGTACTCTTAGTGTATTTACACTAACTGCCTGAAGGTTACCAGAACACCAGAGGCATTTACACTCAACCAATGAGGTTAACCCTTCGTCTGGAGTCAAACATCTCGATAGTCTGGTCGAATCAAGACTGTTTTATTATGGGTTAAAATGATTTTATAATTTGCTCCATCTGATATAAATCGTTAATGATTAGGAAAAAACAAAAGTATTGTTTTTGTGCATTCAGAATCTTTTTTAATGAACACCTGGTGTCATCACTGTTTGCTAGTGATTCATAAACACATGTTCACGATCCAGTCAGAATCGTCCAATCAACTGCTTTTAGCAGCGATTTCTTGTGGACATGGAAAGGGGTTTGTCGCTTTAATTTAAGTAGTACTTGACATCTTCTATATCTGAATGTTCGATTATGACGGTTTGAGCGTTTTCCAACACTTGGCAAGTCAAACAAACTCCTCACAAACATATACATTAACCGTATACAATTATTCTTTGCAGTCGGATTAAAGAGAGCATTAAGATTGCAAGACGAAACACCTGTATGTGGGTGTATTAAATCTGAAAGCCTGCTAAAAATCAAAACCTTCACTTGACTCTAAAATACTCTTGACTTTAAAGGACAGGTATAACAGATATAACATTAACTTGCACAAGTCTCTAAAGCAATATTTATTAGTTTAAGTCATAATTTCTAGATTATGTAAATAATAAGACAAAGTTGTCCCTATAAGAGACTGGAGTCCTTACTGTCCACATATCTAGACTTGCCTATTAGAAGGATAGATTTACTACACATCCGTGGACTTTTTTTTCAGAATTTCTTTCTACAGAATTGGAGCAAGGCTTATATTACATGTGTATTTGAGATGGTGTAAACCTGATGGTTCTTGCAATAAAATGAGTAAAAACTGATGGTTTAAACAGGTTTGGGAGGCTCAATCACCTACATTGAAATCATTTTTGAGTAGCATTTATAACACACTTTAAGTTTATCCCTCTCTTTGACAGTTGTGATTGAGCACTGGAAATTCAGACGGTATAGCAATGAGTTATCGCTCTGCTTGCCTGGTGAAAAAAACATTACGTGGTGATAAATTACTGAATTACATGAAGATAAAAGCATTAGAGAGTAACATCAGGTCACACGACACCTGTCATCAGAATGTACGAATCCAATAAACGAATTCATTTCTCCTATACCATGGTGAATTTATAAACCGAAATGTATTCATTCAACAATCCTTGTGAATTATTTTAAAATGTTTGTCATTGGCTGGAAGGTCAATGTTTATTTGCGAAGGTTGCACGTGTAGCATTTCCACGTATGATACAGTTGAGTTCTCAAATTATCTGTTTCCTGCATGAACGAATTTTATTATCATTGGTAATTTATCGTAAATTTGATCCATTGTGCTATTTACTCGTGAATGTTTATGTGAAATTACATTATAAATTTCGATAAAAAGATTCAAATTTGTTGATTTTACTAAAACGGTATCTTCTTTATTTTTCAGCTGGACAACAAAAACAGTAAGTCGCTTTTCACTCTTTACTATTTTATTGGCATAGTTGCACGCTGTCATCATAAAAGACCGTAAAGTCTTAGCTCAAGAAAGGTTATGTGTACTTCCGTTTTCTTTTCATATTCATACCTGTGTATATATCACGCAACATTCATTGTCATCAATCAGTACCTCATTTGACCGCCTTGCAATAACTATGTGGGGTTCTCGCCCGAACCTCTTGCATATTGCTTTCTGCACACGTACTGTTGGCGTGCATATACCTCATAAGGTACATAAGTGCATTGTGAGCTGATACAGAATACTATTGCACATATTTCCCTGCATAGAGGTGAAGTATGTAGAATTATATGCACATGCATGTATTTTTTTGTTGCGGTGTACCTCACGGCAGTTACCTTACTGAGGAACAACCCAGGGGGTCCTTAGTTCAATATGTTCTGCACCTGCTATGAACTGACCCCCTACTGGTCGCCCCGCACATCTGCTTATTGTCCGTTTTGATTGGATGTAATACAAGAAAAACAATATGTTTGTTTAATCTACGAGGGGCCATCCCAAAGACATCTCAGAAGGTCATCGCTGAAAAAAAAATGCACATATATCACAAACTATCCGACATGTAATCTTTACCTGTATAAACCAATATTACCCAAAACACAAAAACGGTGTTTTCTCAATGGTTGTCGGATAGTTGAAAGATTACAAGCGGTTTAACATGTTTTTTAACTTTGAAGCATAAACCACTGTTTACGTCTCCGGACATATCGTCTTCCACTTCCTTCACCAGCATGACCTCAGTATCTACAATTTTAGATTTTTTTCTGCACAAAAAAGGCTCCCAGTCTTAAGTTGTAGTGGTGATTATACTCCAGTAATCCTGTGCAGATTATGTGCGGCCCCGGCATGCGCGGGCAGTAGACAGCCATGTGTTGTACTATCACGTATCCCCTTCCCTTCTACGGTAAGCTGCCTCCGACTGTCAGGCTGCTACACCGAGGCTTTCATTGGGGGAGGGGTGGGGAGGGAGGGTAATTACTCTACAGCTGAGGTCGCTCTGTGTGCATGCACCAGGTGCAGTTATTGTATAGATGTCGCTCACACCACAGCAGGAGTAGAATATAGCACATGCTTAAGCTGGAATATGTTGATTGTAGCGTCGCTCATCCCTACAGCAGGGTCGGGCTATAACACATGCTTTACCTCTGTGTGCAATGAAGGTGTCTATTCGTTAGGGGACTGGGTATAAGGTGTATATTTTTTATGGTGTTTGAAATGGCTATAACTTTAAATGGGGATGGGTGGGGGTTCATGTACTTGGTGGGATGGGGGTGGTGCATTTGACTACAGTGCCACAGCAGATTAGAGGTGTTGCCTTGCTTGCAAGTACATGGTTTAGGGAATGAAAATAGACATAACATTAAGTGGGTGAATATTAACGTGGCATTAAGAGGATGAATATCAACATAACATTAAGTGGATGAATATCAACATAACATTAAGAGAGTGAATATGAATATAGCAATAAGAGGATGAATATCAACATAACATTAAGTGGATGAACATCAACATAACATTAAAAGGATTAATATCAACATAACATTAAGAGGAGGAACATTAACATAACATTAAGAGAGTGAATATTAATATAGCATTAAGAGGATGAATGTCAGTATGACATTAGGGAGGATGAATATCAACATAACATTAAGAGGATGAATATCAACATAACATTAAGAAGATGAATATCAACATAACATTAAGAAGATGAATATCAACATAACATTAAGAGAGTGAATATTAATATAGCATTGAGAGGATGAACATTAACATAACATTAAGAGAGTGAATATCAATATAGCATTAAGAGGATGAATGTCAGTATAACATTAGGGAGGAAGAATATCAACATAACAATAAGGGTAGGGACATCATCTTAACATTAAGAGGACGAATATCAACATAACATTAAGAGGATGAATATCAACATAACATTCAGATGATGAATATCAAGATAACATTAAGAGGATGAATATCAACATAACATTAAGAGGATGAATATCAACATAACATTAAGAAGATGAATATCAACATAACATTAAGAGAGTGAATATCAACATAACATTAAGAGGATGAATATCAACATAACATTAAGAGTAGGGAGAACATCATAACATTAAGAGGATGAATATCAACATAACATTAAGAGGATGAATATCAACATAACATTCAGATGATGAATATCAACATAACATTAAGAGGATGAATATCAACATAACATTAAGAGGATGAATATCAACATAACATTAAGAAGATGAATATCAACATAACATTAAGAGAGTGAATATCAACATAACATTAAGAGGATGAATATCAACATAACATTAAGAGTAGGGAGAACATCATATATATATCATTAAGTGGGTGAGTATTAGCAAAACATCGAGAGGATGACATAGCATATTGTTACGGTAATAAATACCAACACATAATTCAAGGCATAAATATTCAGTATGACCATACGGCCAAGCGATTGATTATTAGCATAATGTTAGCACAGTACATACATATTTAAGTAGGGCAGTTTAAGGGCAAGGAATGTAGAGAAAAGAAATAATATATATTAAGCTAATAAAATCACACAAAATCTTAAGATAATAAATATAACCATAGGGCTTTAAGGTTACTGATATTGGGCATTGCTCTGATATTCCGATCGACAAGAGAGACGTTTCAAAACATGTCTTAGGTTCTAAAATTACAGGAAATGAGTTATTCCCTCGCGGACAACCAGGTCATGTGACACGCGCCAGGGTCTGTTAACCCTTCTTTATTACTGCACAGGCATGCAATATCCTAGTTGTTCCTCTCGTTAAACATCGCCATATGGTTTTTATACGTGTTTTCCAGATGGGAAAAGGGAAATAATATGTGTTGCGCTGATTCTACATATCTTGAACGTTTCCGACTAAGACAATGCATGTGAAGAAACAACTGAGTGAATGCACTGGTGTTACTGTGTATCTCTCGGTGATGTGAGATACGAGCATTTGATGTCATCACAAAGACGCCATCCGCTTTTTACATGATTATGTTTCTTGGTTTGTCAGCACCATACCCGTGTACGTGAGTTTCACCGAAGTTGTCAATGTGTTAGACCGGCATCCCTTCTGGCTTTCCTCCCTCATTAAGCCGATACACTGTGGTATAACTCACACATACATAGACAGATTGAGAGGGAGAGAGAGAGGTAGAGAGAGAGAGAGAGAGAGGGGGGGGGGGGGGGGAGAGAGGGAGAGAGAGAGGTAGAGAGAGAGAGGTAGATAGAGAGGGAGAGAGAGGTAGAGAGGGAGAGGGAGGTAGAGAAGGAGAGAGAGAGAGAGGGAGAGAGAGGGAGAGAGAGAGGGAGAGAGAGAGGTAGAGAGGGAGAGGGAGGTAGAGAAGGAGAGAGAGAGAGGGAGAGAGAGAGGGAGGTAGATAGGGAGAGGGAGGTAGAGAGAGAGAGAGGTAGAGGGAGAAGGAGAGAGAGAGGGACGGAGAAAGAGACGGAGACGGAGAGTATTTACATTAATTTCCAACATGTCGAAAAGGAGGTTTAGTCAGTTTTGTCGTAAGATCTATTTTTATAATGCACTGTTAATCATATAAATCAAGATTTCGTTAAATTACTGAAATCCATCAACGTTATCAGCACTATTGAACGAACCAATTCCCAAGTAGTTCCAAGATCTGGCAGTGACCCGTATTGCCAGTTATCAATGTTATCAATGTGAACAGTGTTATCACACCATAAGCACCTGTCTAGGAATCTCCCGCTCTCTCACAGAATCCCACCACTTCCTTAAACAGGGCATCCTGTGTTTCTGGTTCAGACACAGCTTCTGTCAGTGTCATGGATGTTCTACTTTATCTAATCTCCATCGTTGTATGGTCATCTTGTAAATAAGCGCGATATCGCCGAATGAAAACCATTAACACCTCAAAAGCGAAATATGGTTGGTTTAAATAGCCACCGTGTCTGTCTCACTGCGGGGTACCTGAAGTTAGAAGACACACCCACTAGTTATCTCAATGTTTAAATCTAGTTCGCATGATGTCAAGATCGTCTAATTTACTTGACGTGATTGTAATGAGAAGTTTAAAATACTTTGGGTTGGAATGCTTTACACAAGCGTCACAAACAAACTTCTTATGTTTTGTGTGGAAGATCCCGTTTGTGATAAACACAGCCAGTATAATTAAATTATGGACTGTTGGGGGAAATCTACCCATGTATCAGGAAATCAATTATGAATAGAATCTATTTTATTATATATTTACCAGGTTTTGCATGTAAATTGTTCTCAGTCAAGATAGTGACACATGTATATTCATCTTCATGTCGTATTTCAAAATGGAACTAGATCTAGATCCATTTAATATGACAGTGTGGGAAATGCAGGGTACAATGCATTCATTGTCAATTCTGCCTATTTCGAAGGAAATTGTACCACAACGCTGTGTTCGAACTGGAAACAAATAAGAACGTATCTTCTATTATCGTAATCTTCTTCCAATAAGTGTGGAGAAACTACAGGCAGAGTGATTGTAAAGTACGATGTCAGCTTCAACAATCATCCATCAATATCACAACAGATTACCAAAGATTCTTGCATGGTGTACTCTCTTGGGACTCGAACCGTTTGACGAGCGAACACTTACCCACTGAACTGCCTATCCACTCCTCAAAGCACAAAGAAGATCCGGGGTAGAATAGGTCTTCAGCAACCCATGCTTGTCGTAAAAGGCGACTGTGCTTGTCGTAAAAGGCGACTAACGGGATCGGGTGGTCAGGCTCGCTGACTTGATTGATGCATGTCATCGATCCCAATTGCGTGGATCGATGCTCATGATGTCAATCACTGGATTGTCTGGTCCAGACTCGATTATTTACAGACCGCCGTCTTATAGCTGGAGTGCGGCGTAAAACAACAAACCAACCAACCAACCAACCAAAGCACAACGAGGACCACATAACCCTATATCAATGATAAGAACAAACAGATGTAGTATTAACGTAGTATCAGAGAAAGGTTTTAATTTTGCTTCCTTTGACAACGGGCAGCCATTCGTGCTTGTGTAGGTAGACAGCGTCCAGATCCCCTTGCTTACATGCCATCATGACGTCTTGCAAGAGTACCTGTTGAGAAAGCAACAGCGAATTTATTTATGTAGTCACTGAAACTGATGAAAGCGCCTCGTGCTGTTGACAGCATCGCCATTTGCTTCATGGATAACTTAATTAAAACAGTTGTTGTTAGTGTAATGTCAAACAACCCCCTGCACCTGCCTGGAGGTAAATAAACGAATGGAAATTTGATTACATCTGGTGTGGCAATTGTCCAGTGTAAGGCCTTATTACAAGTCAATCATTCAAATGATCGTGTCATCTTACACCCATTAATGTTAGTGCTTATTGCGAGTCAATCATTCAAAATATTTTATGGATCAATGGTTGTAAAGTAAAATCTATATTTGATAAATATATTCTTCTCCAATATAGTTTAAGATAAGTACTCAGACTGCTGAGATGATAATGAAGGGAGTACGTTACTTATTCATAGTGCTGCACCATGACTGTGGAATGTTTTATAAAACCAAAACCAATCAAGATAAATATACAAAACCAAGTCTAGCCAGCTCTAGCCAACTCTAACCAGCTCTAGCCAGCTCTAAAATTATTTGTTTTAAGTTTAGAGGAGAGAAATGTATTGTGTTCATAAACTATATGTCAGTCTAACTTGTTCACAGCAAAGGGACTTACTGTATGGGGTGTATATTTTTTGAAGATTATTTAATGGAACCAATATTAAGAATAAAGCTGGAACCGAATTGAACGGTATGCTGGTGATTAGGTTCCATAATGATAATAAACAACTCTAATGATTTGGAATAGTACATGACGTAGAACACTGGTAAGTGGTGCATTTGCTTGTGATGGAATAACTCCATACTGACAGCATGTATGTCTGGGATCGTGTTTGTTTGTTTGTTGTTAAACGCCGCACTCAGCAATATTCCTGCTATATGACAGCAGTCTGTAAATAATCTGGACCAGACAATCCAGTCATTGACATCGTGAGCATCAATCCTTGCAATTCGGATCGAGGACATGCCTTACCAAGTCAGCAAGCCTGACAACCCAATCCCGTTATGGGTTGCTGAAGACCTATAATTCTAACCTTGATCTTCTGGCCACATGTTCAGGGTTACTTGTACTCGTGTACATCATGGCCAAACAGTGACTGGAGTCGAGGCCCAGCCCTCAGGGTAACGGCTGCCTTCAACTCGACGGAGAAATTCCTATGTCATGGACCAGGTCCTGTTTCTGCGATGTAGTTAACTTCCTGGTATAGGATACTTCTGGCTACCACCAACGAGACAAGGATAAACTTTAGGACTTGCCACATTATGAGAATGTCTTCAAACTGACTGAAAGATCAATTACCGCCGAAGAACGTTTTCTATGGTTAATGTACATGGACTTTGATCTTTACACAGATGATATGGGTAGAATGGTACATGAGGTGCCCTCATGTACATGGTCTTTGCAACCCCAGCGAAACAGACTGCCTCCGTGGTCTAGTGGTAGAGCGTCCGCCCGGAGAGCGGAAGGTCCGGGGTTCGATCACCGGCCGCGTCATACAAAAAGACGTTAAAAGATGGTACTTGTTGTGACCCTGTCTCGCGCTCGGCATTAAGGGGCTAAAACAAGGACTGGTCGCCTCGGAGTCAGTATACTGTGTCTGAGTGGGGTATTCATGTTAAACTGCGGCATGGTATATCTAGCTAGCACTATTAATTGGTATCAGTCCGGATTAGACACACACACGTACATGCACGTCGCTATATAAGTGCCATTATCTTGGACGCGACGTTAAACCTAATTTCACCTCACCTCACCCAGCGAGACATACGTCCGAAAGTCTTATTGCCAGAAGAAAGATAACATAACCTCTTGTATTAACGAAGGCGTGCAATTATGTGCACGTTGCAGCAGTACGTATTTGTCGTTCATCCTTGAATAAAAATTACATTACCGATTCACATCCTCAAACTTCAAAGAATGTGGTAACCTTCAACCTTCACGGTCTTCTGTCTCATCAACCTCAACTTATTCCCAGGTATCTCCTCTGTCCCCGAAGATGCTTCCCAACTGGCGTCCACTTATAGTCCCCCCCCCCCCCCCCCCCCCCAAATTTCAGCACCACTCATCCTTACCCTCCACTAATCCCCAGCCTCTACCAATTCACGGTTTCATCACCCAGCCTCCTCCAGCTTCAAAGCGCCAGGTGTTCAGTCAGTCATGTCCGCCTTTCAGAATATTCTACAAAAATAAGTTTACATGTGTTTGGTGTAAGGATATCCCCCACTCATCTTATCTAGACCTCAGAATGTAAAACAACATTTTTTACACAAATTATGTTTTTACTTTACACATTCGTCAATGTTGAGCCCCTGGAGTGATTGTGTGTTGGGTTCCTATTGCGAAATCAAGGGTAGACGTTTCTAGCTGTAATTTCATGCAGTATGATAAGACAGGATGAGTGACTACCTTCTCAGAATAAGAAGCCAACAGTTGCAAAGCTAATTAGGGGGTGTTTCTTTGAAGAAAAGACTTAGAATCGACTTATGAATAAGGGACGTGTGGCCTAACATGATTCTAATGACTGCTTAGAAATAGTTATTATCGTATAATAACATCAATAGATGGGTTTCTTCCTTGTTCGCTTTTCCAATTATAATTCGTTTATTTTCGCGGTTTAAGAAATAAACTTTGATTTGCCTTTGCGTGTGTTTGTGACGGGTGCCACCGGTGGGGCAGGATACGCTCACCTTTTTGCGAACACCTGGTATCATTACTATTTGAAAGTGATTCATAAACACATGCTCATTATATAGTCGGAACCGTACAATCGACTCTGCTTTATGCAGAGATTTCTTTTGGATATGGAAAGGGTTTTGTCGCTTTATTTATTTGAAAGTTAATAGTTTTGATGTTAACAGAAAATGTCGTGAAATATAGTTTCTGCATGAACATGAAATATCAGTTTTTAAGTAGTTTTGAAATTGTGAATATTTCATTGAAGGTGGTAGTTTTATAAAGCATGGAAGTTTGACAAGAAAAGAAAAAAATTCGTTTCTTTTGGAATGTAATGTAAATGGTTAAAGAGGATAAAAGGCAACACAACAGCGTCTTTAAGAAGTTTTATATAAATAAGGCTCTGTAATTGATCAACCACACACATAAATGCAAATTTGAACTTCTTCTAAACTTGAAGCATCAATGTTTTTACATATTGAGACAATTTGTTGTAGACAAGAAGGAATTGCACCCAACTTCACCCAGAAGCCAGTGACGAGACAAGAGAACAATGGACAGAAGCTGTTGTTTGAGTGTCTTCTGACGGCTGACCCTGCCCCGGCCATCAGCTGGTTTAGGGATGCCACACCCATCCAACAAGGGGGTGAGTTTTACACTGATGTAAACTACGGTTATAACGAACATGCTTATAACGAACTGACCGATGTAACGAACGTATTTTTTAGTCCCGGCTATCTGTTGTATAGATGCTGTATATATGCTTATAACGAACTACGGTTATAACGATCTAAATTTAGTGGTCCCTTTGAGTTCGTTATAACCGTAGTTAACGACCTCAATCCAAATTTAACAATTTTTATGAAGGTATTGCTGATTATTCTATTGAAGTATAAAATGCTGCAAGATATATAATTAATACCAGATTTGTGTCTCGTTCAGTGATTGTGGTGGCATGAATGGTTCTCACGGTAATTTGTGCCAAGATCCGCTGGTCTTGCGTTCGAATCCAACTTTCGACTTGAGTATATTTGGTTTGTCAGACATGACTGATATTCTGTTCACAGTGGTGTTAATCTCAGCTCAGTTATTAAAATAATTGTTTCAGCAGCTGAATCTTTTATTGCTTTTTTTCAGGCCGCTTCAATCTGAAGACTCAGCCCAGAGACAAGAAGACCTACTTTGTTGTACTTGAGATCAACGGAGTGTCGGCCCAAGATGCGGGAAACTACAAAGTCACAGCCAAAAACGCATTGGGCGAGAGTAATGCCACCATTAGACTTAACTTTGATAGTAAGTTGTCTTCCTTGTTATTTGTATGTTCAAAAACAACAGCTTCCTTGTCACTTTTGCACCGTTAGGGCAGGATACGCCAACCTGTTCGCGAACATATGGCATCATCAATATTTGATAATGATTCATAAACGGATGCTCATGATGTAGCCGGAATCGTTTAATGTTCTCTGCTTTTAGATTTCTTCGGAAAATTGGAAAGGGTTTTGTCGCCTTTATTATTATTTGTATTTTCAAAAACCTTTCCAGTTTCCTTGCAGAGAAATTAAGACGTCAAATTAATGTTCTTATTAAGACTAGATTCATAAACGACAATGACACCAACACTTATGACAAGAGGTGTTATATTCTTATTAGGGATGATGGGGTAGCCTAGTGGTTAAAGCGTTCGCTCGTAACGCCTAAGACCCGGGTTCGGTTCTCCACATGGGTATACTATGTGAAGCCCATTTCTGGAATATTGCTAAAAGCGGCGTAAAACCATACTCATTCACTCTCTCATTATATGCTTCGTATGCTATTGGGAACACAGACACGTATTTACAGGATCAGTTTCTGTTTGATACTGACTTCTTCATTTACTTGAAAAATGGTTGTGGACATTAATTCTGCGTGGCTGGAGGGAATGGAAAAAACACATACGGTTTCCGATACAGATGAATCAACCAAGAGAAAGCTAACGTTGCCTTTTAGTCTCCATTTTGCATAACACATGGTTGATGTATTTCAGATCTTAAGCCAGGTAAGTAGCAGAGTGACCGCTACACAACTCACAAGACAGCGAGTTTACACTGTTATTACCAGGCTTCATACAGTTCACTAACACCCATCTTCATCCGTTCATTTAACACTAAAACATCATGTTGTGACTGACAGCCAATACAAATTAACTATATTTGTTCCAGTGTAGTTTACTGACGTTTTAGAAGTCGAACAAATTTCAAAACGAAATTAAATTAAATACTAATCAATCAGGGACATTTCAAAAACAAAATTATATTTTGTTATCATATACCTTGAATACTTTTAATGGTATACTGTGCTGAAATGATTAATACAATTCAGGGTTCAAGGGCAGGAAAAATATTTTAATAGTTTGATATTTTTGTAAATAAATTTCATTCTCTTTTAAAATATTTTAAAAAAGGTACTTTCTATTTGAACCGAATTCATTTGTAGTCTTTATCACAACTGAAATGATCATAATTTGTTAGAATACCATAACCCATATCATTGCTTCGATATTCATTTCTTGCTGACAATTATTTTGCTCAAAATAATAATATACAGCTGCAATTAAATTGTGTGGCAATTTCTTCATTCAAGTTCCCCTTGTTTCCTACTTTTACATTTTTCAGCTGCCGTTGACATCTTGCAATAATATTTTACAGCTTTGAGCATCTTTTGTATGGTTAGCCATACATCTTTTATTTTCTTCAATGATAATATCTTGATTTCTTATACAAATGTGTGTGTTTGTCGATGTATAGTTAGATACACTGTATTTATTTTAGTTCTGATTATTTTCTTTAGAATCTTACCTTGTTTTCTGAAATCTGTGTTGTGAAAAAACATAATGTGTAATGTGTCTAAGAAGCGATAACTTTTCACTTTTCTCGTCTTGATTTTGCCTAACATTAAAACATCGTATACGTGCTTACGAAGACATAGTTGGAGTAGAAAGAAGTTTACGAAAAATAGTTTATTTAAGAAATATGATCCAGTTGTTTAATTTTATGATAAGATATGAACTTTCGTGCGTGCTGGGCTATCATTTTGGGATTTATGTATAAAGATACTTCGGTTTATGCAAACCTCGTGGACGATTTTGAGCATATTATCTATGAAAGGAGAAAACACGGTGTAAATAAGGTGTCTTCATCAGATGATGTGATGGGGATATATGCCAAACTGTAACAATAAGGGAAACATTGAATGATACGTCTATGTATGATAATAAGTTCAATTATATCAATAAATATGTTCATCTTATTATCACATGAGTATTATCAAATGTAGGGTAAGGATACGCCATAAGTGTTTCAGCTTTTGGTGGGTAGCAACGCTTATAGTCATAATAGAATGATACATGTTGAAGCAATGTGACAACATATGTTTGGCACCGGTTCCAGTGTTCAAGAGACATGTTCTGTAACAAAGTTCTCACTTTTTCAGTTGAAGAACCTGGAAAAGGAGGTGGTCGCCCAGTGTTTATACAAAAACCTGGAATTCGCCAAGTTGGTGATAAAATAGTGATAGACTGCAAGCTCACTGGCGATCCCAAGCCTACCATTCAATGGTTCCAAGGGGGGAAGGAGATATTCCCTGGAGGAAGAATCAATATGATACATAATACTACCGCTAACAACCATGCTGTGTCCCTAGAAATCGCTCAGGTCGGAGCACAAGATGGCGGGGAGTACAAGGCCATTGCTAAGAACAAGCATGGAGATGCTACAGCAACGATTACTCTCAACTTTGAAGGTGAGCTTCAGTATCTACAGTGTTGTATCCTTGTGAGGATAGTACTTTGTCTTTAGTTTTGAAATTCCCGGATATGTAGGTTTAGAAAATAATGTCTATGTCAACCATATGGTGATTGGCAAACAATAAGAGACCATTATCTTATATTTATCGTATATTTTATAATGGACTTTCTGACCTTCAGTGTAACACGTCACGTAACTAATGAAATTTTGGCATGAATGTTTGATTTAAAACGATTTATTATCTATATTTCTTTTAATCGAATAACAAACCCGGGTTGTATTACAACTGTATTATTATGATTATTATGAGATGATTGTGATAACCTATATTTCTTTTCATATTCTAGGTGGAAAGAAACCAAAGTAAGTAGTGTTCTTCTCCTCCTAGCTAATTTTAAAAACATGTATTCAAGGGGTCAAGCCGATTTACGCCTACCATGTTTATAGGAGCTTGAGGAGTTAAGATGCAATATGCTGCACATATATTCCCACATCAGATATTTTGAATGACTTTATTCGTTAGATCATCAGCCTTATCAGTGGTGATTATTTTCCCACTTAACTCTGTCTCTTTATTGAATGGTTTAGAGCAGGGCATCGTGCCCTCTTCATGAGCAAACTTCTCACGTCAGTGTGTTTATAGATGTTCGATCTCCACGGTATGTCAAATGGTTTCAGACTGCCAGAAGGAAAGGCACCCCACTTTCTTCAGAAGCCCACCATTAAGCAGCAACAGAAGCTGTTGGTGATGTCGTGCCTACTGGAGGCGAAGCCAACTCCCCAGATCCGCTGGTTCCAAGACCAGAAGGAGGTTGGCGAGGGAGGACGCTTTAACATTACCCTGAACAGGGAGGGTAGCTCACCCGATACCTACCTAGCCGTCCTGCAGATCAAGGTCAGACACCACAATAATTAACATAGCTTTTCATGTCATCGTTGGTTACAATGATTATCAGTTTAATAAATTATTTAATAATTTATATTAATTCTTTTAATATATTCAATAAACCTGAGAAAATATTTCCCCTGTAGTGTGAAGTTAAAAACTGGTAAATGGACTAAATATACCTTTCCTTTCATTGCTCTGGTTATGGTTACATGTTACATTTTTTGGTTATTTTCCCTCTGACAATTTAAAATTGTGATGCAGGATCCAACTCTTAGCGATGGCGGAACGTACAAGTGCACTGCAGCCAACGACCTGGGAGAATCTAATGCTAACATAACACTGAACTTCCAAGGTAAGTCAACCAAAGAACAGCGGCGGTGGCATAATATACGTGCTGCACATATATACGGGTTCTGTCTGCACATCCATTGTTAGTCACGCTGCATCCACTGCACTGCACCATTGTACCATTGCACATTACTGCACTATTGATACCGTGAGTCACAACCCTGATGAGCTCCATTCCCTATAAATATATACTGCATGAAGCCCGGTGATGGCTGAACCTTATCTTCCCGTGTAGTTCTTTAGGACCTTTTACGACAACTGCTGTTGATAATTTGAAATGTCCTACATTGATTTATCATGCTTAGCAAGTAGACACTGAAGTAAATGCACGTCATGCAAGTCATACATAATATAAATGGTTCAGAAGTATTTGAATCTTTTTGTGATATTTGATATGAATATGAATATATTTCATGTCAACGTTCTCTTTTATGGAAGCGAAAGCTTGCTCCTGTGAATGTGCTTCAGGTGTTGCTCGCGACTCTGAGTGTATTTGGCTTTCCACATTTGGTGCAAGTAATTATGTGTCCGATATTGTAAAATTTCAATGCCACTATGCTTTACCATGTGATTGGCCCTGTGTAGTATCACCATGTTCTATACCACGAAGCAGAAATAGTTGGAAATGTACGCCAGTCAATCACTGCCCTATCTGGCAACAGCAAACGTATCACCACTTCCTGTTTGTTTCCTCATCTGTTAAATTTAAAGATCGCACTCAGCTTAAGATCTTACTGTCCGCCCACGAAACGTCTGTATGCATTTTCAATGGTATCGTGATATTCATCAACTGAAAAATCAACATTTGGCACAATAGTTGTAGTTGGTGGTTTTGTCCAAACATTTCTGCTTCTCTTCCCAAAGACACTGTCACAACTGACTTGATATATTTCAGATTTGCAACCTGGTAAGTAAAATGTTGCCACCTTCTATTGACCAATAAGGCAACAGTGTTAGAATGATGCTAATGATTCTAGTTCTTTTTGACTAATCTTATGTAATTTAAACATTTGTTACAATCCAGGCTTTAGTTTTACAGATTAAGGTTGACATTTCCAGGACCTAGCATAAACAGTGCGTTATGAGTTTTGCCATCATAAATTGCAAATAAAATATTAACATTTACCTTCATTGATCTATGTCTATCAAGATACCACAAGTATAACAATTAGAATCATATGGTGTTATTTGAATTATAAGAAACCCCCAAACTTTGTCATGATGATGATGAAGATGACGATGCAATATAGTTTGCCAATGAATCTAAGGCACACCATGATATACATGTTTGTACCAGCAACTGGGTTCATCAGTGAACAGCCTACTATTTTAGTTCATTTATGTAGGTGCTTCATTAAGTAGACACTAACGAGATGCAGGTGAGGGTGCCACGTAGTGCAGCAATCACTGTCTTCATCCCTCTGGGTGAGATGTATTGCACAGTAGTAAATCAGTTTACTTTATTTTTCTCAAGTAGGATCGTCAAAGGCATTTAACAATAATGAAAAGGTCAAGTGTAACAAATGTAACAAATGTTCTATGTTTCTATTCTAAGTGTTTGGATATTTGTTGTATTTAACAAGAAGTAGAAATAAACGACAACTTTTTATAAAAAGTATATATTAAAATATCTTTACATTTAAGTGTAAATACCTTCCTAAATATGTTTTCAGTTTAAAAACAATTATTACTATGTGTTAATCCCGCTAATTTTGGTATTTCGATTTGTGTTATTTATTTGAAAACATAGTTATGATGTAGACATATTCAATTGGACATAACAAGTTTCTATTAAAATATTTTCAAATGTTAATGAAGGATTTGTTTTGTTCCTTGTTACATGGTTCTCAAAACATAACTCACATCGTAACATTAAAACTAATAACAGCTTTCAAATCATAGTTCTGCAATTCTACAAACTAAAGGTTTTGATCCGTCATTATATTGTACATGTTATGCTTGAAAGTGTGTTTCATTTATCAAACTTTATAATTTCAGTTTTATCTAATATTAGTTGCTTTTCAGTTGTTGGTGCTTTTTTAGCAACTTCTTTTTACAAAATGATATGTATTTCAACATTCATGTTTGATAGAAGTTCAACATGTGTTTAGTCATTAAACATCTGGCCTTTTTTGTTGATACTCGATAAAACATTTGAAATTATTTTTGGTGTCATTTTCTATCATATTAGGTATGAGTAATTCGTTAATTTAACAGAATAAAGATGTCATGTATCCAGCATGTTCTCATTGACACTTAACATGGAAGAATTTGCATTTCATTTTCTCTCCATGGTTTTAAAAAGAGCCTTGCTACGCTAAGATAGTAATAAATTGTTGCTTTTGGCAAGTCTTAAGAAATACCGGGTATTGAGGTTAATTATATTTTTCTGTATCAACAAATCGGGTTCAGGTTTGGCAGATTTAATCATACAATATGTTTGATTGACTTACTCAAACCGTTTCATGTCTTTGTTATCATCTTCACTGATATCATTGCTATCTGATAGTGATTTTTTAACACATGCTTATGATATATTCGAACTGGTACAATTGACTCTGCATTTAGCTGAGAATCTTTATGATTATAAAAATTGTTTGTTTTGTTTTTTTGGTTTTTTATTGGAGCGAACCAGCTGCAGAGGTTGTGTGGGCTTAAGATATTTTTCATTTTTTAAATATTCTAATACAGTGGTATTAAGGAATACAGAACAATTAATATGTGTGTTGTAACTATTTGTCCTTCTTTGTAGGACATTATACACAAATACACAAAATAACACGAATCATATATCATTGATGTTTAATATGACCTTTCGGTAATATAAGTTAAATCAAGTTTAATCGTTCCATTAAATACTATGATCATCGTGGCCATGTACTAAAAGTGTACGTGTTTTGTAGGGGGCGAGAAAAAAGCAGCAGGAATCGCACCAGTATTCAAAGAGAAACCAAAGGTCTCCCAGGAAGCTGGTAAAATCGTCATGGAATGCAAATGCACAGCTAGCCCCAAGCCCGCAATAACCTGGTTCAAGGGCACGCAGCAACTGTCAGCAGGACCACGTCACAAGCAGACAATAACAGAGAGCGGAAACGACCACACCCTTAGAATGGAGATTTCAGTAAGTGCTGTTTGCGAAGTAACACGACATTCCATCACTAGATGGAAGTGAGTGTGGTTGATTGTACATCATACATATACGAAATGATCTCTTCAGTAATCATTACCAAAACAAGCTTTTATAAACTAGAAAAGAATCAACATCAACTTCAAAAGAGCATAATATGTTTTATCTGAGGACGATCATAATATTTTCAGTGATACAATGAGGAAGATTACACGAACATCAGCTTGGTGTATTTATGCAGTATGTACTTAGGTCACGTCTTTGTACAACTTTCGAAGGTAGTAGTGTGTATGGGACGTTTTTTGGAGTATCGAAATGAGTGGTGTTTATGATTCATGTTTCTGTTGTACAGAACTTTACCAAAGATGATGGTGGCCAATACAAGGTCACGGCCAAGAACGAAGCTGGAGAGGGCAGCGCCAACATCACCTTGAACCTAGAACCGTACGTGACACATTTTGGAAACCAAAATAAATTCAACTAAACTTTATTAGATTCCTATTCCAGAACAATTTATTTTTCTCAGTTCTATTCAAGCAGACTTCATCTACACGAAGAGATCAGAAGTAATAATAATTGCAAATAAATAGAGAACAGGTACCTGGTTTGTCAATTGACAACTAACTTCATTTGACCTAGTGTACCAGCATACCCAACACGGTACATTGATTCTCAAAGTTTCAACCCCGGTTTAAGTATTCAGGGCTCAAGTACATCTCATGTATGATCCAATACTGTTTCAGGCCAAAGCCTGCACCCCCGAAGATTGAAGGGAAACCTTCCATCCGTCTGGAGGAAAAGGACAACGTCATCATCATGGAACAGCCCATCTCCTCCGCGGTCAAACCCACCGTCATGTGGTACTTCAACGGCCAGCCACTGAAGCCAGGCGGTCGCTATGTCATGGATATGCCTCAAGAGAAGGGGCTGTACTACCCTACGCTGGAGATTGAAGATGTAAGTTCTGGGAACTAGTTCATCAGTAAAAATTATCATGTAAGAAAATATGTAACATCAACGCTATTGAATAACCAGTCTCGATTATAAGCCGGAACAGATTCCACGTCTGTGAATTATATGAATAGAGCACTAAAATCAATGACGACACCAGGTGACAAAGAGAAATGTGTATGTGCTTGTCATCGTGCCTGCTGCCAAGTTGCCAAAATATTTCCCAAGATGTGTTGTGTCAGAACCTTAAAGACGTTTCATACGTTGAAGTAGCGTCAGCCTGTGTAACTTTGTCTAAGATTAGGTAAGCTGTGCCTATACAAGGGATACTACACCTTAGAATTCACTTCACTCACTCAATCAGTTATTGATGTCCTTAACTGTTTGTTTATGAGTGTGATTGGCTCTTTGAGAGTTGTTTTCTGTCGCTTCAATGTCGAAAGCCTGAAGAAGTGACAAGACTGCCTAAATGGCAGCCCGATTTCGACTCTGGACCCTTGTTCATTTAAAGACGGAGGGTGCTAACTTCACCATTTGTGTTTCAGTTCAACGATAAGGACTCGGGTAACTACAAGATGGTCATCCAGAACCCCGGGGGCGAGATAAGCATCCCTCTAGCTCTCAATGTTGCAGGTGAGTTTCCAGCCCTTTTTGAAACTGTAACAGATAGTTAAACTGGCCTTATAGTATGGGATTTGTTTGATTGGCCTATTTGGGGCACTGCGAAGTCTTCATATATGTCTTCACCATTTTATATAGCGACCTGTTTTTCATTCATTGATGTCAAAGTGTATTACAACACTAAACCTGAATTGAAAACTGGAAAACTATTCTATTTTGCCATCGTAACCAATGATTAAGTTTCATGCTTAAATACGTCAGTGCACAGAAATTCACAAGTGCTTGCAAATATTAAGTGAGTGAGTTAGGTTTACCGCCGCTTTTAACAGTATTCCAGTTATATGACGGCGTGTCAGCTTAATGTGGGAGGAAAGCCGGTGTTATGCAGGTCTCAGACGTTTACCACTTCGGTGAAACCCACGAGCACGGTGCTGACAAACCTAGAAACAATCGGGGCGAACCGGGATTCGAACCCACAATCATAGGTTTCTAGCGTGCCCAAGGGACGCAACTCTGTACATCGAATCGCGGCGCCTTAGACGACTCGGCCACCCGTGCCCCCGCAAATATTAAGATTTAAGTTTATATGTAATGTCTGTTTTTCAGCACTGAGGCCAAAGGTTAAAGGGGAAGCACCGAAGTTCACACAGAAACTTGCTCCAAAGGTGAGTTGAGGGCCAAATTGTTTCACAGAGAACTACCGGCAAGAAGTCCTTCCTCTTTTGCTAAGAGTTTCATGACACTTGACTTGTGTTTGTGACGGGTTCCACCTTTAGCAACACCTGGTATCATCACTATTTGATAGTAATTCATAAACATTTTCATGACATTGTCCGAATCTTACAATAGACTCAGCTTTTGAGCATATATTTCTTATGAATATTTTTTGGTATATCGGTATGATTATGAAAGGGGTTTGTAGCTTTTATTAAAAATCTAAAGTTGAAAATGCATATTTAAAATGAAAAAGAATCATTAAGCATCTGGCATGAAGTGTGATAATTCACGACAAGGGTCATACTCTTTCCTTCCGCCTTGGGAGTGTTGTATATATATGCACCAGTGAGCTCATGCCAGGGGTTTACCGTGCTTAACGACCCTTCTTCACTGTTGACATTACCACGACACCCCTTCTATGCAGCAATGCAACGGAGTGCTGTGCTTGTAATATGGCAAAGAAGGAGCGAAAAGCAGGAAATGTGGCAACATATTATGGTTATTCCACGAAAGCTACCCATGAACAATGACCTCTAGTGACTCCGCCTTGCCAAGTCGTTACACCAAACATTTACGAGAAAGCTGGAAGCGGCACATGATTACAAAACCGTGATGCAACTTTGACGAACGGCAGTTTTTCATCTGTGTTCTATGTTTAGATAATAAATGATCTGACTTATTGCCAAATTTATGTAACTGTGAAGAAACACCAACTGCATATGCCACTCTCCTTTTCTTGTAGACTGCTATTGATGGGGATGCTGTGGACTTTGTGGCCAAAATAACTGGTACCGAGCCGGTCACCACGACGTGGTCGAAGGACAAGAAGGTGCTGAAGAATTCCGAAATCCACAACATCACCTACGACAAAGGAAACTGTAGGCTTTACATTCCTGAAGTGTTCCCCGAGGATTCCGGAAACTACTCCCTTGAAATAAAAAATAAATTTGGCAGTGCCAGTACAATGGCAAGTCTGCAAGTAAAAGGTAAGAAAACGAAAAAATGGAAACATACCACACAGACTTCAGAGACCAGCCTATACTGCTCAACATTTGCCAAGGACCACACCTCTGACTAAAGATCACTATCTTGGTCCTCAGTAAATGTTGAGTTGTATTAGTACAAGCATAGCAGGTGCCAAATTATCTGGAACATTTAAAACTCATATTTATACATTATGAACAGTAAATGTGTTAAAAAAATGATTTTTAAATTGAACAGACAACAACATATTTTTCCAAGTTAGATTAATATTTGGAAATATCTATGAATTCGTCATTCACATAACAGTGAGTGAGTAAGTGAGTGAGTATGGTTTTGCGCCGCTTTTAGCAATATTCCAGCAATATCATGCCCCCCCCCCCCCCCCCCCATTCACATGACAACCTAGGAAAAATGAATATACAATTAACACATATAAATCATTTATAAGAGTTAACAGTTTTATAGAACTATTATTTCCTATGGTCGAAGCGGTGATGATATTAAGAACACTGCTTCCTGCCCTTCAGTAAACCTTGCAACAAGCATTGTGCAACCTACGTTTGTGCATTACGGAAAATGAAAACAATCTCTGACATCTCAAGAGCCCCTACCATGTTCGCATTCAACAACAGCTTCACATTATATCACATAAAAATGTTTTTAATGAGAAATCCAGCGTTTCTTCAAGGGCCTGTAGATTCATAAATCTCTGTTCATGCCCCTCGGCACCTTTATCATCACTGCTCAAAGCATTGTAACCACCCCTGGTTATGGGCAAAGATACTGAAATAGCAAATGAATGTTAACTTGTTTGAATGATGGTGCAGTGCAATAGGGCCTAACCGAACTGGTATATGATGGGGATTCCATACATGTTTCCCCCGCTGGTCCACAGAAAAATCTACCTGGGCTATATGAGGTGCATGCGATACTGAGCTGCTTACTCGGGTCGGTAGCTTGCTCCAGAATGGCAAAGGGTTGAATTCTTTAAGGAGTCAAAGAAATCTTTCGAACTAAAGTCCTGCGTTGGGATTTGCGAGACTGGTTTTTATGATTTCGCCAAAGACATTTGTGACATTTGTGATTTGGAACCGGTTGTGATAAATTTCGTGTATGTTCTTGAAATGGTGGAGCGTCCTTTTCGTGGGTGTGGCGTTTCGATTCACTGTCGTGGAGGATGTTATATGTATGTTTGTGACATAGCAAATTTAATTATCAATAAAATGATTCAACTTCATGTACATGAACTATGATGGAGATTTGTTAGGTATTATTTCCAACAGAAGTATGTTTTCAGACCTTACATACGTAAATCGAAGACCTTTAAAGAATCTTTACCTGTAATAGCTTTGGGATGTTAAATGCTTTCTATTTAAATGATGCTTATATTTTGTGTTATATTTTGTACTGATATCGATTTGATCGATTATTCCAGAAGCCGAGAAAAAGAAACCGGAGGCGAAAGTTGAAGAGAAATTGGAACAACAAAAGGTAGGAACCCGTAGGTGTCGAACCCGGGTCTTCGGCGTGACGAGCGAACGCTTTAACAACTAGGCTACCCGTATGGGTTGTCTTCCAGATTCGGGGTTGTGAGGCAGATGGGTTGTGTGAACCCACCAGTGTAGAGGTTGTGAGGCAGATGGGTTGTCTGTACTGTCGTGAAGTCTTCCAGAGTCAGGGTTGTGAGGCAGATGGGTTGTTGGTATGGTTTTGAAGTCTTCCAGATTGTGAGCCAGACAGGTTGTCTGTACTGTCATGAAGTCTTCCAGATTCGGCGTTGTGAGGCGGATGGGTTGTGTGAACCCACCAGTGTAGAGGTTGTGAGGCAGATGGGTTGTCGGTATGGTCATGAAGACTTCCAGATTCGGGGTTGTGAGGCAGATGGGTTGTGTGAACCCACCAGTGTAGAGGTTGTGAGGCAGATGGGTTGTCGGTATGGTCATGAAGTCTTCCGGAGTCAGGGTTGTAAGGCAGATGGGTTGTGTGAACCCACCAGTGTAGAGGTTGTGAGGCAGATGGGTTGTCTGTACTGTCGTGAAGTCTTCCAGAGTCAGTATTGTGAGTCAGATGGGTTATGCGAACTCATCAATGTCAGTGTAGTCAGCCAGATGGCTTGTGTGAACACATTAATGTTAGTGGTGTGTGACAGATGGGTTGTGTGAACATAATTGAGTTGGTGTTGTGAGGCGGATGGGTTGTCCTAGGTTGTGTAAACCCATCAGTTTTAGGGTTGTAGAACATATGGATTGTCGATTTCAGTGTGAACCGAGCAGTCTTTTCACGATAGTAAGGTGTCGAGCGGCAAAAATGGAAGGTTCTTTAGTTACCAAAATAATTGTAAGAAAACATATTACCACTTCCCACACTGAAAAGTAGTCATGCAAATACTTCCTTAATGTGTGTGGAAAGAGGATAGAGGAGGTATGAAAATGTGAAGCAACCCTGTTGAATTCAGGAAAACAATGATGCTCTGTGTGTAAGATTATTTGCCATTTTCACACCTAAAAGAACATAAACTCGAACCTTCCTTGAAATGTGAACATCACTTCCGTCCGGATCCCGACACCTTCCTTGCAATAAATCAACTGCCCAAAATATATTTATCTTTACATTATGATCTTTTTTACAAAAATATGCAAAGGAAGGAGCGTTCTAAAACTTTCATCCTTTCTGTGGGATAAATCATCTGACTTGAGTTTGGTAGCAGTAAAGTAAGAATGCAGTGTTAACAGTAATGGGATCATCGCATGTTAGGCTCAAATGTAGCGAATCATTGCTGCCAAAAGATACTTCAGTACAAGGGATGGATACTGTAGCACAAACCAGGGCTTTGGTGGGAGAGTTATGGAGATTCCGGTGTCAGATGCCGATATGTTCTTCCTGTCTGAAGGCTGAGCCGTGTAAGCTATGGTATGAGGGTGACCTTGTTCCCATCCAATATCAAGGGGGGGGGGGGGGGGGGGGGGGGGGGGCACGGGTGGCCCAGTCGTCTAAGGCGCCGCGATTCGCTGTGCAGAGTTGCGTCCCTTGGGCACGCCAGAAACCTATGATTGTGGGGTTCGAATCCCGGTTCGCCCCGATTATGTTTCTAGGTTTGTCAGCACCATACCCGTGCTCGTGGGTTTCACCGAAATGGTAAACGTCTGAGACCTGCATCACTCCGGGCTTTCCTCCCACATTAAGCTGACACGCCGCGATATAACTGGAATACTGTTAAAAGCGGCGTAAAACCCAACTCACTCACTCACTCACTCCAATATCAAGGTCATTTGGGAAGATAATTGTGTCAGAGGACATAGATGTAACTTGTAAGGTGCATTTAATTTAGTGACCTATTGACCTTACATTAATATGGGATTGTAATAGCCTTTTGTCTCTTATGGAGCTGGTCCGTTCGAATGACGACTCTAGAATATCGATAATCGTGAACAGATTTTATTGTCTGAATGAGAACTTATTTGAAATAAGCCTAAATGGAGATCGTTTTGTGGTTAAAACAGTGTGATTTTTTAAGATTAAAATAATTGAGTTTAGACTTTTCTCTAAATGAGCAACACCTTTTCTGATTACATGAATAAAAAAAAGAAGAAAAACCATTAACTAATAACGATGAAACCAAGCTCTTGCAAAGACTCAATTATCATAATTACAGTGATTGCTACTGTCTTGATGGAATCGGAACCATAAAAGTATATTCTTCAGACCGGTTCTTTGAGGCTGGCATTGATGCAAAGAGGAACTATTTCAGGAGCCATGAATTCTCTCGCTCCCTACTTCCAGACTTACAGGGTCATTTGAGCTGAGTTTAGTTATGCTTAGTTATAGATAGAAACTTCACGTGGAGGCTTCAAAACTCGGATGCATAATTTGGCTCCGGTGTTGCATTTCTAGCCGACATCAGGGTTATTCGTTCAGGGTTTCGAGTTTGCCAAGACACTTCTTTTGTCTCAAACAAAGTTTTCATGGAGTAATTGATGTATACGTAGCAGGTTTGTCCGAAAATATAAATTGTGTTTTAGAGGAGCTAACATAACTAGGAGCTTACTAACAGAAATCTGGATCCATAATGATTGCTAATGTAAACGACTGGGGTATATAATGATATGTCAGCGCTATATAATGGCTACATTATGAGAGGGTTCGTTTGCATATGTTCGTGGAGTGCATTTTACATGCCATTAATTAAAACTTGGAGGGGCGATATGTAGGGGGGCAATAGTTGCCTTGTAGTTGAGAGTACTCTTGGTGGTACAGATAGTGGGTATTGGGTTTGTTGCATTTCTTTTGTTGTAACTGAGATTAACTGTGATTGTATGTAGAGATGTGTTAAGGTCTTGGTCGTGGTGTCTGTGGAATGGAAATCCTGACATTCTGGTGTCTGTGTCGTCCCAAGATTCTGTAGTACAGATATTGATCAGCTTAATGTTTTGTGACGGGCGCCACCAGTGCGACAGAGTCACTCACCTTCTTGCGAACACCTGGAGTCATCACTATTTCTATCGATGGAACTCGCCATTTATAAACTTTGGCGAACAAAAAGAAGACATATACCAGGCATATATCTATTAGCCCAAATGAAAATGTACTTGACTTGGGCATCGGGCAAGTCGGACGCAGTGGTAACATTTATTGTTTTATGGTTACTGCTATGTATTTTCCATCAATTTTCATCGTAATGTTAAAATATGCTTTTCTGTCCTGTTTCAGAAACAAGCAGGTATGTATTGGGCGTTCATATTCAAGTGTGTTGGGTGATGTTTTTACAGATTAGACAAATAGTGCACATACAATAGCCCGAGAATTCCTGAGCTCCTGAACCTGAGACAGATCACCCAGTTGGGGATACATGATACTCCTTATATACTAGTGAAAATATTAACGACCACACGAATCGGGTAATCCTTAACTTTTTGTGAGAAGTATAGTTCGCGGGATTGGAATCAGAACACCCTAAGCTGTATTATTTAGTACTTTGTAAGTAACTTGTGTAATAGGAATTGAAATCTTTAATCTTAACTGCAAGATAAATTTGAAATATTTTATTGGTTGCCATTAGTGATGACAAACTCGATTAGAGCTACCTCCATTGTTTTCGTATTATTAGTAGCTGCAATTTCAAAAAATATTATCAACAAATTTAGCAAGAGACTTTTGTCAGCAAGAACCTGCTTGTGATTATTTCAAAGCACAAGTAGTTTTCTGAGCTGTAAACTCTTGCTATATAATGAACAAATTATTTGCATATTCTGGTAATTACGCTGTACTATAGGTGCACTCACCTTGTAATATTAGGAAATCAGTTACCTGCGGGGTATCATGTTTCACACACCCAGTGCCGGTTCTGGTGAGGGGATTAGCTTCTTGCATGTCGAGAACTCAAATAGATTTCTTGAAAAAACATGCATCTTTTTCTTTGGAGAGACTGATTAATAGTGTGTTTGTGGTGTATTTTACTTTTGAAATTTAGGCTATGTACAAAATGCATCTGTCTTGATATTATCAGTGCTTTAGCTTTGAAAATAGACAAGTTTCTTTGCCAGGATTGCATTTTCCCAGAAAATATATATTAGATTACCTCTTACCTTTGTAGATATGCATATTTTAGTTTCGAAATGAATCATCAGAACTTTAAAGTTATTGTGATAAATAGTACACTTTCGACAAATGATTTCACCCAACTGGTCTTCTAACTCTAATGTATTTCTGATGATTCATATACATCACACAAAAGTAAAAAGCATTGGCAAATTGTATTCTTACACAGATATTGAAATAACTTTTCAAGAAGATATTATTCTTGAAACTGTTTATCTCATGAAAAGAAAACTACAATTTGCCAAGTGCATTTCAGTTTTGCAGACAAGCAAATACTGTGGCAGGATACTACCACACAGTGTTTGAGGGAGCACATTGTCCGTGCTCATTAGAATAGAACTGCTTCAGCCAATACAATGGCTTCTGTTAGATATATCCGTAGACCTTGCCCTAGCACCTGTAGTTGACCTCTCTCTCCCGACCTGCACAGAACCCAAACAAGAACCTAAACAAGAACCCAAAGAAGAACCCAAACCTGAGCCCAAAAAAGATCCTAAGCAAGAGGCAAAGAAAGAGCCTGCAAAGAAAGACGAGCTTAAACCCGAAGAAAAGAAAGCAGCTCCTAAAAAAGAACCTTCTCCTAAAAAGGAGCCCTCTCCTAAAAAAGAGCCTCCCAAACCTCCCACTATTGTTGAACCTTCAGTTGAAGAACCTCAGAAGAAAGAGGGCAAAGGTAAAAAGGAAGACATGAATGACACAAATAGTAATAATAGTTCGAGTAGGAGTGGAAAGGCAGGTAAAGGAAAGCAGCGTGCGTACCAGAAGAAACCAACAACCATTCTTGAGGAAGGTGAGGTATTGCAGGAGTTCTCTCCCCTACATGTTGTAACGCTCGGTCTGCTCGACCTATATCCGTATGTACTGACTGAAATTAAACCTGTAGGTCCTAGTGAAAAATGTGTGTCAAGACACTACCTTGAGAAGTTACTTGAAATTATCCTACATCAATGCATCACTGAATTCCACAGTTGGCCGTTTTTGTCAAGGCTGTAAATATCACGTCAACTGATGGCATCATTTTATATGAACCATTAGTACCATTACAGTTATTGGCACCATTCATTCTCTCCTTCCGTTGTGCCCTTTGCCAATAAGGCTACCATGGTAACAAGGATCTGGCCATGTAATGACCATTGGTGCCAATGTGCCATTGTCTTCAGAGAATTGATTCAACCCTCTCAGTCAGAAACTAGGAAAACCGATTTGAGCAGACTTGACAGTCAAACCATGGAATATTATTTTTCTTTCCTAAATCTTCATATTTGAAACCACATGCCTGGTACTTCAGATGTCCATGTTTTGACTGTCCTTTGTGTTGTCTCCCAAGTAAACTGAGGTATCCATCATTATAACCAGTTGTACACACCTAACACAGTCACTCACAAGTTGTATGTGTCTGTTGCATACTTCAATGTTATACCTCAGTCTGCTGGAGGAGAGTTATCTTGCCTTAACCACGTGTCTGTCTATGTTGTCCACCATGTCTCAGATTCATATTGTCAAAAATAATCCAGATTGAATTTCGGAAATGTCTTCTCTCTTTGACAAATATACCTTAACCGGTAAGTATACTTGAAAATTATTTTTTGGAGAAAGATATATTGGTGAAAAATGGTTGTATTTTACATATATTTGATTCCTACACTTAGTGAAGAAATTTCGAACTATTAATCAAAAATGTTTTGAGACATGTTTCTGTGTTGTCTATTGTCTTCAGGCCGATAACTTGAACTGATATGAAGAACATTACTCGGATCATTAATGAATTATTCAAACATTTCTAACAAACTGACCCAAGCACACTCAACCACTTGTAGATATCCCGTGTTCAACACACTGTGAATACAGATAACTGACAATCCTAGTGCCTCTAACTGCGTAATTCCTAGATTTCCAAAACTCCATCAGTGTCACTTAATCCTGTATTTTTTACTATTACTGTCATAGCAACATAACTACTTACATTGTCATAGCAATGTCTACAACAAAGCTGTGGCATTCGTCAAGCGTATTTAGCACCTACATAGTATCCCTTTTCACACAGCCACAACAAGCACAATTATTGTTTAATAACTTACATCCACACAAATATTACTATATTTGTTCTCTAACAAGGCATAACATGATATAACATATTACCACTAATGTATTGAAAGCTCATTGTTGCATATATATTTACCCATTCAAACAATGCATATTTGTATTAACTAGTTCAAATGTTGTAGTAACAGTTTTTCACATTCACATGATAAATTTAACATAACTTTTTTGTACATTTTTCACACAGATGCTTTAACGAATGATTCATACAAATAAGGAAGTCTTGATAGTGATGATTTAATAGTAGTTCATAAACACATGCTTATGATATAGTCGGAATCATACAATGGAGATTTCTACAATTATGGAAATCGGTTTTGTCACTTTACTTTCCATACTCATGCAGTCACTGTATAAATACATATTCGGAGTAATTTAGTTTCAAGCTGCCTTAGTTCTTGCTTCTTATTTTCTGTCTACACTTTTCATATCTTTTCAACCTGCACACAAGATAAAGGCACACTTTTAGGGCTGGCCATGTCCATGTTGTGCATGTTTCTGTTTGTCCTCATGTCCTCTGTCCCATTGTAAGATGATGAAGAACACAAGGATGACGGTTATGAAGCTGATGTTGATCGCCCCGTTGCCCCGGATATCAGCATAAATGACTATGATGAAGATGATGGTAGGTTATTCAACGGGAAATCGTTTAACACAAAAAAACGAAAAATACTTCCTTCAAAAAACAGCAAAAGAGTTAACTGTAATTTGAACTGATTCTGAAATGTTATTTCAAAGAGTATCATTTATTAAGCATATAGAAAAAAATGACATAATAATATTAATGGTTGCGATTTATTAATTTCCAATAAAACGAATTATTTGAGGAAAGTTTACTTTTGAGTTTGACATTTTTTTAAATTTGGGTTTTAAATCTGATTTAAGATCCATATTTTTATGTACTCTTTGTATGAACTAACTTGTGAGATAAATTGTTAATTACATGACATTAACATAACCAAATGACATTTAACTTGCTGCATGGACTAGCATTGACGGGTTTTCATACCTACTGAAACGAACGTTAATGCACTTTATATTAACAAATATTCAACACTAAAATAACAGTCTTCATGAGTTATGAAAATATAATAAATAATTTAATACAAGCTAAACAGTTATGATATACGGATATGAAGTAAGGCAGGTAAGAAAGTTCATTGAGAGAGATCAAGTCACTGAATGGAATTACTGCATTAAAGGTAAGTTTATTATGCCGTGATGAAGCTTTCTAAGGGTAGAAAATGAAGTATTTTGATAATTTGTATACATTATGCATAAGGTATTCAGAACTTATCGAACACAACGTGTAATGGGAAATAAGTTTGTTCAATGAAATTAAATTCCTCTGATGAGAGAACCTCAGAATTGATTTGATAGGAAAACAGAATTGATGTTAAAGTGAAAAGCAGATTCAATATTTTCGTAGGAAGTGAAAGTTGGAATTTCACAAGATATCAGATTTGGTGTTCCACAAGATATCAGATTTGGTGTTCCACAAGATATCAGATTTGGTGTTCCACAAAATATCAGATTTGGTGTTCAAAAAATATCAAATTTGGCTTTCCAAAGGAACCTAAACGATGTGTTTTGCTACTATGTAAACAATGTGAGACTACTTTGGAATTCCTGAGAAAGCTTTGTCAGGGCTGGTATATGTCAGTTGTGAGGTGTCTGTGGTGACGTTATTCACCCAGTACTGTCTGCAGCACCGTGCGCTACTTCTGTCTGGCGGTGCCGCCATGTCAAAGCCATTATCTGTTGCTGCTGCTGCTGCGTTACAAAACCTTTTTTTACAGGTCGTGAACTTCACCTGAAGAACAGAAAATTTAGAAGAATACTTTCTGGGTCAAAATATTTTTAGGTCCAAAATCGCATATAAATTCCTAAATGTTGAAATGTCATGTGAGATCATGTAGAGTTTAAAAATTGAAATTCACAATAAAATCAGTTTTCGATATATATGACTGCAATTAATAATGGTACATTTTTTAAATAATTTGACCAAAAATGCCTTCAGGTGAGGTAGTATTTTTCTTGTGTCTAATATTTCACTTCAATTTCAGCACAAATTGTTCCTCATGCACTGAACACCATAGCATGGTAAATGTAGATAGACCCATGAAGCTTAGTGAGCCTTAGCTATGCCTGGTCTAGATGTAGCCTGTAGATAGAGACAACATAACTGGAGAATATGAAGTATTTAAACAATATTCATGAAGTTTTCATATTAACAATATTTTAATGCACATGCTATGCAATACTATAAACCATTAATTGAAGTTATGAGCATGTACATAACGACATCCAAAGGTTAATAATAGCCATTCCTGTTTGACAATAATTGGTGCTTTATGTGTAGTGTAAATTTAACACCAAAAAATTGAATAACTTGGTCCTCATCATTTCTACTTCTGAAACTAAACATATTTTTTTGTCTGTTTTCACAGGAAAAGCAGTGGTAAGTGTTTTCTCATTACTCAATAATAATTTAAATCTGATCACATGTACCTCACAACTACTACGTTGAATTGAAACAATATATTTGAATATATGCTGTGAAATTCATAGCGAGCACACTGAGAAAAGCTGAAATATGTTATGAAGATTAATATAATATTACAACCTGTCACACTTAGTTGTAATAAAATGTAGTTGTAAGGGGTAACCAAAACCATATTTTAATTATAACTAGTTGTAAGGACAAGCTTGGCGCTTGGGGCATTGCCATATGAAGATCAATACTCTTGAATAAAATGTGAAACCACATTTCTCCTCACCTTTCATTAATCATAAAGTATGCTTAATACCATATCACTCATGATAATTAGTTGTAAGGAATATCCAATACCATTTCATTCATTATCACCATTTGTAAGGAAAACCCCCAAACTTTATTACTCACTATCACTAGTTGTAAGGAATACCTTATACCTCATTTTGGCTAGTTGTAAGGAATATCCAATGCCTTATCAATCACTTTCACCAGTTATAAGGAATATCCAATACCTTATCACTCACTATCACTAGTTGTAAGGCATCCCTTATCCCTCATTATGGCCAGTTGTAAGGAATATCCAATGTCTTTTCAATTACTTTCACCAGTTATAAGGAATATCCAATACAATATCTCACATTATCACTAGTTGTTAGGAATATGTAATATCTTATCAGTCATTATCACTAGTTGTGAGGAAAAGTCAATACAATAGTCAGAACAGGATCAAGGTGAGTCCAGGTAAACAAACATTCACGATCCTTCAATATCATACATTATTAGGTATCGGCTATATCCAGGGACTTTTACTTAATTTGGTGAGTTCTTACAAAAGTATTCCTCCTTGCAAAGCAAAAAGAACAAACATTGATAATCCTGGAATCCTGTGTCATCAGCTCATCTTTCTCATCCTTCATCTTTCTCATCCTTGACCATCTTCAGCCTGTGTGATACATTCATGGATCATCATTCAGTTTTCATGGAATCAATATTCAGTTTTCATGGAATCAATATTCAGTTTTCATGGAATCAATATTCAGTTTTCATGGATTAAATAATAATGGATTCATCAGTCATCTTTCAAGGAGCATCCTTCATGTGTCACACACCTTCATCTTTCAATGTGTCCTAGCAAGACCCAAGTTCCCTACAGAAGGGAAAGTGGAGCATGTGTGTAAGATACCTGGCCATGATGGCGGCGGAACTCATCACAGGAAGTTTGCAAGACGAGCGGTTGGCACGTTATCCTGGGAGTCAGCATGGTGCATGGTGATGCTGACTGACAGTCTTGATGGAGAATCTCGTACCTCACGTGTTGCGACTGCAAGATAACACGATGATATGAACTTTTTGTCCTGCAGTGTGAGAAAGTTATGGAATATTTCTGTTGACTCAACTTCAAATACCTGCTGAAGATATGATACCGATCTCCTGAATGCCAAATTACTGGAATTTTTAACATGGAATATGTATTTTTTTTTCCTTTTAGCCAGATACCTGTGATACAAGTTGATTTACCAGAACAATAATCACTTCGATTCAGAGTTGGTAGCGAATTCTGCCCAGTTAAAATAATGAAATTCTGTAACTTCATTTTCATACCAACAACAATAGTCTAAATCAGGTTTAAAAGTCCACGTATTATGTTCATAATTAGACTCTCGATAAGTGGTGAATCAAGAACTGAGTCAGAATTGTCTCAGAAAAATTTGTTACTTCTCAGGCAGGGGTGTTTCCAAATTTAATTATTATTACCGTAGTCCAGAGATTTCAGTCAGCTTTTGATTGCCTTTTAAATTTAGTAATTGAGTCTTTAAGGTCTGAGAATGATGTCAAAATTTTTAATCATATCCAAGAACAAGTTTCCTTTATCAAAAACAGGCACCCCTCCTTTTGAAAATTTTACCATTGAACAAAACAATTTCCAAATAAGTTTTCCCTTGTTTGTGAAAGCAAATCATCTTAGCGATATGACTATCTTAATGCTAAGTTTATGTGCAACTGTAGGATTACCCCCGTAAGGTGATCATAGCCATAATACAAGATTAGCAATACATATATGTGCAAATGTGTGAATATATTCACAAGGTCATCTTAGCAATATAACCTTCTTAGCGCTAAGTTAATATGCAGTTGTAGGAGTTTCAACAATCAGTTGAGATGTGGTTATACGGGTTGCTATGCACCATCAGTCATCTTAATCTTAAACACACACTACCCACAAACACACATGAATACAGCTGGCAAAAAGGGTGGGATTACTATCTTGAATGTTTAGAATCCATCTGCCAACAAGTTGTTAAACATTATAGCTCTCAAAAACACAAAAACTTATTTGAAATTTGTATTTTTTTCCACTGACAACTGCTTACGGTGGAAGTCTCTTCTGAGAGGTAATCTCATTTTAAACGGGGAAAAGAAAATTATGGAACATGAAAATAAAACAAAATGGCTGGAACCTTTCAAACCCATCCATCAATGCTTCTTTTTGTACCGAAGTGGTGTAATTACGTCAAGACCTGCCACCATTCTATCTGTGCTCCAGCTAATTTATTTTGCATACTTACATGTTGTTCCCAGTACACATAAGTCATTATAAACCAGATCAAAAGTATTTGTTGATGTGTCAGCACGAAATATTCTGATTACCAAAATCTCAGAATGAAATGGTATCATGGGGCTACTTGAAAACACACTCGAATACCAAACTGTCTTGACTTGTATATTGTTTCTCGAAGTTGTGTACACATGTGTATGACTTTAGCGTTAACCTGACATACAGCTTTTATGGCTTGCATAATACCCTAAAGATGGCACATTTACACGAAGGTGCTGTTTCTTTTAACATAAATTTGTTGCCATGGTAACGCAGACTGAATGTTTGTTTGAAGCAAAGGAAAACAACTCAATCAGTGAAATACCAAGTGCCAAGACAAGGGACTGGATTATGAAGATAAGGATCACCTTGTGAGATCCGTGTATTCTTTGCCTGTCTCATAAAAGATGAACTTGTGACGTCAGAAAACCGTCTCTTCGTCCAGCATCCACACTCGGATCTTTGACAAACTCCGAGGCAGACGCCTCTCCAAGATTTCAGACACAGGCCTTAAGTTCCAGTAATAGAATAGTGTCTTGGAAGAAGCATCCTTCATACTTCATCCTTTCTGTTTTTCATCCAGTTCCAAAAGTCTACCTGCCATTTTCGTACATTTGGATACCTTTGACTGTGGATGTCGTCTGCTCGTGCACAACCATTTTGGATTTGTTGCCAAACTGAAGCTACCTGTGATGCTTCATGGGCTTTGTGATGAAACCTACCTGTAGCCCACAATCATATCAAATGCGTAAAGTGTGAGATGTAAAAATAATTGGAGTATTGTGATTGCCAAGTGTTGTACAAACGGATCTTAACTGGATGTATTCCTTACCATAGTTGTATTAGTCAGCAAGACCATTTCTGCTGGAGATTGAGAGTGTTAAACAAACGGAATATTTCATTCAGTCGACATCACAGCTACACTGTAAGAAGATGTACCCACAAATCAAAATTCATCAGCCTGAGGTAATGTCATTTTTCATTTATAAACCTGAACTATTTTCAGGGGTTAGTATTTATGCTTGAAGTATTTTAATACTTTGAAGAGGCGAAGAAGTATTTTGTTGTTTCTTCATGGATGTACGCAGCACCATACTGAGGATGTGGAAAACTTGGATACAATCACAGCTGACAGTGTTGTTTCATTTTGCATGTAGAAATTGTTTGTTATGTGAGCTCTTAAAGGAAGATATGTCATTGCGATCAACCATCATATGTTACCATGACAGCTTATTAACAATTTCATTGTCATATATTTAACTATTTTTTTTTATTCCTGGGTTCTTTATGTTGAACATATTTATGATTGCTTACGGAATTATTTTTGTTAGTATCAATCAACTTGTTCATTTATATGGCCTATAGGGACTGTAGCTGCCTGTAATACTTACCCAGGAACTCATCCCTTTTGTGTATGGTATCTTAAGACTAGGAGCTGTTGTGCCATCAGGGTCCCATTCCTTTTCTATATGTTGTCTTAAGACTAAGGCTGTTTGGCCATCAGGATCCATCCCTTTGTGTATGTTGTCCTAAGACTAAGGCTGTTGGGCCATCAGGATCCATCCCTTTGTGTATGTTGTCCTAAGACTAGGAGCTGTTGTGCCATCAGGATCCCATTCCTTTTGTGCATGTTGTCCTAAGACTAAGGCTGTTGGGCCATCAGGATCCATCCCTTTGTGTATGTTGTCCTAAGACTAAGGCTGTTGGGCCATCAGGATCCCATTCCTTTTCTATATGTTGTCTTAAGACTAAGGCTGTTTGGCCATCAGGATCCATCCCTTTGTGTATGTTGTCCTAAGACTAAGGCTGTTGGGCCATCAGGATCCCATTCCTTTTCTATATGTTGTCTTAAGACTAAGGTTGTTTGGCCATCAGGATCCATCCCTTTGTGTATGTTGTTCTAAGACTAAGGCTGTTGGGCCATCAGGATCCCATTCCTTTTCTATATGTTGTCTTAAGACTAAGGCTGTTGGGCCATCAGGATCCCATTCCTTTTCTATATGTTGTCTTAAGACTAAGGTTGTTTGGCCATCAGGATCCATCCCTTTGTGTATGTTGTTCTAAGACTAAGGCTGTTGGGCCATCAGGATCCCATTCCTTTTCTATATGTTGTCTTAAGACTAAGGCTGTTGGGCCATCAGGATCCCATTCCTTTTCTATATGTTGTCTTAAGACTAAGGCTGTTTGGCCATCAGGATCCATCCCTTTGTGTATGTTGTCCTAAGACTAAGGCTGTTGGGCCATCAGGATCCCATTCCTTTTCTATATGTTGTCTTAAGACTAAGGTTGTTTGGCCATCAGGATCCATCCCTTTGTGTATGTTGTTCTAAGACTAAGGCTGTTGGGCCATCAGGATCCCATTCCTTTT